CACTACGTTGCAAATAAACTTTACAACTTGGGGGGTGAGGGGGCGGGGAAGAGTAGGGAGAGGAAAGTGGGAGAAAATGAGGGAGGGGTAACACTGTTCAAAAAGAAATGTACTCATTACCTTACTTATGTGACTGTAACCCCCCTGTTCCACACCTTTACAATAAAATTTTAAAAATAAAATAAAAAAGAAATGGTAAAGCTCAACTCAGTGGTAGAGAGCTTGCTTGGCGTGTGTGAGTGACTGCATGAAGCGCTGAGTGTCGGAATGAGCTGGCCCTGTGTGCACAAGAAGCATAGACTGTGACACTGGCCAGATTGTCAGATCACATGATCTTTTCAAGACATTGAGATAGTTGGGGGAGAGGGATATTTAATAGAGGGAGTGAATTACTCATAGTGTATTGCATGTATGGATGAGAATATCATAAGGAAGCCAATTTGTACACTCTATGCTAATAAACAAAATAGTTACCAGACTCTCATGAGTATACTTTCAAAGATTCCTTAAAAATCTGGGATCCTAGGAAAAAGCAGCTGGGCTAGGTTAGGCTTAAAGATAAACATTGGCGTTGTTTCCAATGTGGGGTTATTATGAGTAATATGTGCCATGAACATTTCTGGACTTGTTTCTGGACTTGTTTTCAGTTCTCTTGGTCTCAACACACACACACACACACACACACACACACACACACCTAAGAGTAGAATTATAGGGCCACGTGGTAATCTTCTGAACTGTGAATCTTTTCCAAAGTGGGTATATCATTTTATAATCTCATCAGCAGTGTATAAGGATCCCAGTTCTTCCTGCCTTTGCCAACATTTGCTATTGTCTGTGGTTTGGTTTTGTTTTCTTTGTTTGAGATAGGATATCTCCAAGTTGCCCAGGCTGGACTTCAGCTTTTGATCCTGTTGCCTCAGCCTCCTGAGCAGCTGGGGTTATAGGTATGAACTATGGAGTGGTACCTCATTGTGGTTTGATTTGTATTTCCTGGTGACTAATGAAGCTGGGCATCCTTCTAGGTGCTCATTGACTATTTATATTTTTCTTTGGGTAAGGTCTGTTTAAATTCTTTGTTTGCTTTTTAAAAAAAGATTTTTATTGCTGGCCGAGAGTGGCTTATGCCTATTATCCTAGCTACTCAGGAGGCTGAGATCTGAGTATCATGATTCAAAGCCAGCCCAGTCAGCAACATCAGTGAGATCCTTATCTCTCCAATAAACTATCATAAAAACTGGAAGTGGGTGCTGTGGCTCAAGTGGTAGAGCGCTAGCCTTGGCTGAAGAGCTGAGGGCCAGCACCCAGGCCCAGAGTTTTATATATATATGTGTGTGTGTGTGTGTGTGTGTGTGCATATATAATATATATATATATGTACATATATAATATATGTGTATATATGTATATAATATACATATATATTCTTGTTATTAAGCTGCAGGCCCAGCTTTTTTGATATAGGGTATCATTGACTTTTTTTGACTGGGCTTAAATCTCAAGAGCCTCCCATCTTCACTTCCCAAGTAGCTAAGATTACAGGTGTGCATTACCACACCTAGCCCTACTCATCCTATCTATCTGTTTATCTATCTACCTATCTATCTATCTATCTATCTATCTATCTATCTGTCTGTCTGTCTGTCTGTAACATTTTTGGCTTCTACTGGGGCTTGAACTCAGGGCCTTGTGCTCTTGCTTTGCTTTTTTGCTCAAGACTAGTACTCTACCACTTGAGCCACACCTCCACTTCTGGCTTTTTTTTACTAGTTAATTGGAGATAAGAGTCTCTCAGATGTATCTTTCCAGTTTGCTTTGAAGCTCCATCTTCAGATCTCAGCCTCTTGAGTAGCTCAGATTATATGCATGAGCCACTGGCTTGGTCATATTTTTAAGGTCATATTTTAAAAAAATTCTTCCAGTTTTTCTAGTGGTTTATTGGAGATAAGAGTCTCATGGACTTTCCTGCCCAGGCTGGCTTTGAACCATGATCCTCAGATCTCAGCCTCCTGACTAGCTAGGATTACAGGCGTGAGCCAGCTGTGCCCGGCAAGCAGTAGAGCACTGGCTTGAGCTGAAGAGCTGAGGGATAGCACCCAAGTCTAGAGTTCAAGCCCCATGACTGACAAAAATAAATAAATAAATAAATGATTCTTAAGCTGGGCGCCGGTAGCCCACATTTGTAATCCTAGCTACTCAGGAGACTGAGAGCTGAGGATCATGGTTCAAAGCCAGGCTGGGCAGTAAAGTCCGAGAGACTCTTATCTCCAATAAACCACCAGAAAACCAGAAATGGCAATGTGGCTCAAGTGATAGAGCACTAGCCTTGAGCTGAAGAGCTGAGGGCCAGCACCCAGGCCCAGAGTTCAAGACCCACAACTGACAAAAATTAGAATAATAATAATTCTTGAGTTCTTAAAAGAGAGCTGGAAAGGAGAGACCTCCCAAGCAGTCAGTGTTTTCTCAGGAGGGTTGGGTCTTTATGGCTATCTGCGCTGGGATCTTCCAGAAGGATTCAAAACCTCTGTAATCATTATGGCAGATCAGGAGATAGCTGACTGAGCCGAGAACTATATTTCTTTCCTACCTTTTCAGTTTATTATAATAGTAAATTATACCATTCACATTAGGAGATATGAGGAAAGTCTAAAGTGCTATACAAACATAATGTATATATAATATATAATATATTCTTATTATTTCCCTTTATCTAGTGAGTAAGATTCTAAAAATAGGGAGAAACTATTTTTTTTTCATTGAGATGAAGGTTGCCATGTCTGTTGCAATACAGTTACAATACACATTAGTGAGGTTTAGGGCTCACTTTGGCAGCACATATACAAATTAGTGAAGTTTGGCTTTTTATATGTAATTCTTGCAGGATGCTGCGAACCTACTACAAGGAGTGTAAATATGAGTGTTGTCATCCTTCCTCCCATACCCTCGCTTCTTTCAGTGAGGTCACCTGTGTGGCAGACATTGTGCTATAAGTGCTGAGAAAACCCGTGGAGTAGAAGGTAGCCTGGGACCCATGGCCCAGTGGGAACACTTCAGGATTCAACAGCCTGATCAAAGGGGACCCTGGAGGAGGCAGAGGACAAGTTTCCAGCTGATAACACTTTGCTCTGCAAGCAGAATGAGACTGCCTTGCAGCACCTTTGGTTTTATGGTTCTTCAGTAAGGCAGAACATAAACTAATTAGTTCCTAGAACTTACTTTCCTAGCAAGTTGAACAGAGTCCCTAACCCAGAGACTATGGACTATGCCACATAGCAAGGCCAGCACAATGACAGTGGGCCAGCAGAATGTACTGCCAGCTCCTCTTTCCTCTTGTATGAGGTAATTAGGAGCTTTTAAGAGATGAGGCTGGCCTCCAGCTAAACCTGCCTCCACCCAGGCTCTCCTCTCCTGCTTTCAACACAGTTTCTTTGCGGATCATGCAGAACAGCTTCCCAATTTAGGCTAAGCCTACCCACCTACAGGGAACCACTCTTAAATCCTCCTCCCAAGCCAGCTCCCTCTCAGGTAACAGAAGCTCTTTCATGTCCGGACACATGTGACCCATGGCCCTCTAAGCCTGGAAGCTCACACTACTGGGACCCCAAGAGATCTCACCAGGTGACCCTCAGAACCCAGGCCACCACATGTGTTGCCTTCACTCAGCCCCTGGCCCTCTGATCATGAGCATCCATATCCACTTAGCCAGCCCGGAAGAGCCCCCAAAGCTCCTGTCCACAGGCTCTCTGAGCCAAGCAGTATGAGGTGGGACGGGGTGGGGTGGGGTAGGGTGGAGGTAAGTTGGAAGGAAACACCTGAGAGTAGGAGAGACTAGGATAAAGCAGAGTCAGGTTGGATCCTCAAATGTCCTTTCGCCCTATCCCCACCAGGAATGACAACTCTCACCTCCACCTCCTTAGGGAGAACATCTTCTTCTCTCTCCCTCTACCTCTCCTCGGTTGCCCTCTCTTCAGGCCCCATATCTTAGGCAGCTCAGCGCCATCTCTCCACGCAGGGCCACGCAGCCCGCACACACCTGCTACACTGCGAGCTGGGGGGCGGAGCTCCTCCCCCCCTTCTAGGGACAGGCCCTGGGGCTGAGGAATTCACCTCCACAACCACCTCCACCCCAGTGTGCTTGTCACTTTGAAATGGGAAAAGACTAGGGAGTGTGAAGACCTCAGGTGACTCGCAGCCAGCCGCTCAATCTGAGTTTGGAATCTCCATCACAAAGCCAGGCGTTTCGCAGCTCGCAGAGCCTCCTGCGAGATCCCTCCGGCCCAGCTCATGAACCCCAAGCGTGGGGGGGGGGGCAGGTGTCCGAGTGCTCCGGCGCCTCCACGCGCCCCCCCTCCCCAGCCCCTGTATTCCTCCTCCCCTCTCCAAGCCCCGGCTTGACAGGGCTGCTGGCAGCTGCAGCCTCTACCCGAGGCGCCTTCCAGGACACTTAAGGTCCTCGGATCCGTGCAGGTGACCCCGACCCCACGGCCTGGAAAAGAAGAGCCCTGGCACGGTTAACCCCTTCGCGGCGGCATCAGAGGACCGCCCCTCCCCCTGGACACCAGGAGCCCGGAAAGGCCTGGGAAGGTTAAACGAGACACACTCGGGTCACCAGGCGCCCGGGGGCGAGGCTGGCAGAGGGCACGGGAGGCCGAGCCTCGGCGACCCACCAAACCGATTGGAGGTGGGGGACCCCCTGTTCGCCACCCCCGGCTGCGCCCGGCCCCTCCCCGCCGGCGCCCCAGCCCAGCACCCCAGCGCCCGCCTGGTACCTCGTCCCCGCCCCGCGCGTTCGCCCCGCCGGGCCGCGCCGTGGGGGACTTTGGAGCGGGGAGGAAGCGCGGCGGGCGGGCGGGCGGGCGGGGAGGTGGGGGTGTGTCGGGGGGCGGCGGTGCTGGGTTTTATAATCCGCAGGGCGGTCTTGGCGCGGGAGAAGGGCCACCCCCGAGCGAGCGGAGAAAGCGATCGGAGCGAGCGAGCGATCGGAACGCCGGTGCCGCGCCATGGGGGCCGCCGGGCGCCCGCGGGGGCCGCGTCTGCTGGCGACGCTGCTGCCGCTGCTGCTACAGCTGCTGCCGCAGACGCGGGCGGCGCTGGACTCCGGGCTGCAGCCCGGAAACTTTTCTGCGGACGAGGCCGGGGCGCAGCTCTTCGCCGAGAGCTACAACTCGAGCGCCGAGCAGGTGCTGTTCCAGAGCATGGCCGCCAGCTGGGCGCACGACACCAACATCACCGCCGAGAATGCTCGGCGCCAGGTGGGCGCCCGGGCCCGGCGGGGGCGGGGCGGGGCCGTGGGGACCAATCACGGGCGCGGGCACGAGTAGCAAGGTGCCCCGGAGGGGGGCAGGGAGCGGGGAGAGGGAGAGGGCAGCCCTCCCTAGCCCTTAGCCCCAGCCCTATGGCCGCCTTCGTCCTATCGGTCCCACCCATCACACAGGCTCCATGCTCTAGCACCGCCGGGCACGTGATCCGTGCCAACACCGAGATGGACTGGATGAGACTGCCCCCTCCGTGACCGGGCACCCCCCCCCTCCAGACATGGAGGCTGAGGGAGCAGCAGTCCCCACTCTGCCCCGGAGCCCCAGTCATTGGGCAGCTTGTCCACCCATCTCTGGACTCTGTACCTGTCACGGTCTAGTCTCCCTCCATCCCCTCCTCCTGCCTCTCTTCTGCTCCATGGCTCTCAGAGGCAGGCAGATCTTCCGAATTTCCCACCTGGGAGCCACTGCTCGGGCAAGATCTGGACCTGGGATCTCAGCAGGGCCACAGATTTGAAGGCCCTTAGCCATCCTCCTTCTCCCAGCACCATAGCTTCTACATGGCCTCTACCTGAGCTGGCTCCCCCTTCCTGCCCTCCTGGTGTGCCTGCAGGAGGAAGCAGCCCTGCTCAGCCAGGAGTTTGAAGAAGCCTGGGGCCAGAAAGCCAAGGAGCTCTATGAGTCCATGTGGCAGAACTTCACTGACCCAAAGCTGCAAAGGATCATCAAAGCTGTACGCACCCTGGGGCCTGCCAACCTGCCCCTGGTAAAGCGGCAGCAGGTGGGTCTGCAGGTAGAGGAGGAACTGAGGGGTCTGCCTCAAGTATCCTATTATGGTGGTTGGGGGAACAGTTTGGCAGGGAGGGACCAGAGATGGGCATGGGCTCTGGCTGTATAGAGGAGTGATGGAATGGTTAGAGGGCTGCTAGAAGCATCCGTTTTCATTGGGATGAGTAGCAAGTTCTTTGTTTTGAAGTATTGTGGAGTAGAAAGCTAAATTCAAGGGCTGGAGTATAGCTCAGTGATAGATCACTTGCTTAGCATGTGTGAGGCCCTGGATTTCAACCCTGCCATATACAGAGGCAGCCAAATAAAAAATAAATTGCTCCCTAGGCCAGCTTGGTTTATGTATTTCACTAGACGAAGTAAGGACGAAGAAAGCACCAGAGCCAGAGGATGAAGGGAATTCATCTCATGGCGAGGTAGTACTTCATCCAGTTCTCAGGCTCTCAGGACACTTGTTCTACCTGCATGGGCTTGCCTCCATTGGAAGGGGTAACCCTGTACTTGTGCCACTGAGTGTCCCTGTCCAAGCCACATCCCCTTTCCAGGCTACCTCGAAAGGGTGGCTCATGCGTGTAATCCTAGCTACTCAGGAGGATGAGATCTGAGGATCCTGGTTCAAAGCTAGCCCAAGCAGAAAAGTCCCCATGAGACTCTTACTTCCAATTAACCACTCAAAAACCAGAAGTGGAGCTGCGTCTTAAAGTGATAGAGCACTAGCCTTGAGCAAAGGAGCTCCAGGACAGTAACCAGACCCTGATTCAAGCCCCATAACCAATGAAAGAAAGAAACAAAGAAGGAAAGACAGACAACAGATGGAAAGAAAGGAAGGAAGGAAAAAAGAAAGAAAAAAGGAAGTCAAGAGAGAGTGTGAGGATTGTTCATCACTAATGTATTCACTTCTCTGATTCCCAGTACAACTCCCTGCTAAGCAACATGAGCAGGATCTACTCCACCAGCAAGGTCTGCTTCCCCAACAAGACTGCCACCTGCTGGTCCCTGGACCCAGGTACGGCCCTATCACTTCCTGTCACTGGGGTTTCCTAGAGCTTCCCATCACCCTGCTGCACCCAGGCAGGTGGCATATTTATCACCAAAGCCACAAGTGCTGACCTCCCATTGGGCCTGAATGTGTGGAAGCTCCCACACGCTTAGTCTCTACCCTTAGTCACACCCCTGTGTTTCATAACAAACACTTTGGGAACCTCCAGTCCCACCCCTCCAAATGAGCTTTCACCATTAAGCCTACTTCCTGGCCTTCCGGCCTCCCTTTCATGAGTCACTCACTTCCTCTAAGAGTCTGCCATAGGCCTTGGACCCCATTGGGGGAGGGGGGGAAAGTGGGCAAGTCCTGGATTATGTTACTTTCCCAGGGACAGACAGGGTTCCGCCCGTGTGCTGCTTTGTATAGTTCTTATCTTCATCCCACCCACCAAGCCTGTGGACTGCCCTTGGCCTTGGGGGGAAATATGGTGATCCTGAACCAATGGGTGGGAATGGTCAGGACCAGCGTGCCACTCTGGTGAAGGTTGTCACGGGAGACACACAGATCTCTAACTGACCCTGCTCACCCACGTTTCAGAGCTCACCAACATCCTGGCTACCTCAAGAAGCTACGCCATGCTGCTGTTCGCATGGGAAGGCTGGCATGACACTGTAGGCATTCCGCTGAAACCGCTATATAAGGACTTCACTGCCCTCAGCAACGAGGCCTACAGACAAGATGGTGAGCCTGCCTGCCTTTCCACCTTACCAGGCATTCTGATCTACTTTACCCCCCACTGAGCCCCCACTCCCGAGGCAGACAGACTGGCTGGTACCATGACTGCAGAGCTAACCCCTGGTTTCTCAGCTGGTAGCAAGCTGGCAGATACAGGATCTCCAGCTGGAAGAATGGCAAAGCTAAAGCTGGAAGACAGGGGCCCTGAGTCTCAGGCCTGAGCTGTTCCTTCTCCACTCTGCTAGGCTTCACAGACACAGGAGCCTACTGGCGGTCCTTGTATGACTCACTTACCTTTGAGAAGGACCTGGAGCACCTCTACCACCAATTAGAGCCTCTATACCTGAACCTTCATGCCTATGTCCGCCGGGCACTGCACCGCCGCTACGGTGACAGATACATCAATCTCCAGGGACCCATCCCGGCTCATCTGCTGGGTAAGAAGTGGCACTGTGGTTAGAGAGCTGGTACAGGGCAGAGCCAAGATCCAAACCAGAGGCTTTGGCTTCAGGTCCAGGGGAAGAAGCATTCTAGTCTTAGTTTGTGCCCAAGGAATCTAGCCCTGGGTCACTACCCTAGAAGTGGGAGGTAGGACCCTGGCATGGACAGCAGTATGGCTTGGGCTTATACTTGCAGCAGCCTGGGGAGGGCAGATCATACAGAGTGTGTGTGGGGGGAAGGTTGGGACTGTGTACAAGGCAGATATGCAAGATGCTGGGCCTCAAGCCAGTGGAGCTGCTCTGAGCTCCCAGGGTGCAGGCATCAATGCTCAGAACGACAGTAACCAGGCTGTTCCATCTCTCCCTCCTCCATCTAGGAGACATGTGGGCCCAGAGCTGGGAAAATATCTATGACATGGTGGTGCCCTTTCCAGACAAGCCCAACCTAGATGTCACTAGTACTATGGTGCAGAAGGTAAGTACTGGAGGCAGACTCCAGGTGGAGTAATGAGAGGGAGTCAGAGATGGTAGACCAGAAGGAGCAGGTGAGGATCCTCCCTTTCCTGTACTAGCCAACCATGAACTGGGCTCTGGATCCCAGTGACAGAGAGCCAGCAACTGTCTACTTTTACCCATATGCTGTCTGCGGTCAATAGGGCCCTGCCTCTGAGAAGGTTGGTTGGCAAGTAAGCAGAGATGGCTTCACAGGCAGGGTGCTGCCCTGGATGAAGGGTATAGAGGACCTGCCCTTCTCCCCACAGCAACCCCAGCGCCTGCAGGCAGCTAACCCCTGACCTTTTCATCTTCCTCTCCCTCAGGGCTGGAACGCTACCCACATGTTCCGAGTGGCGGAGGAGTTCTTCACCTCCCTGGGTCTCTTACCCATGCCTCCTGAGTTCTGGGCCGAGTCGATGCTAGAGAAACCCCGTGATGGGCGGGAAGTGGTGTGCCATGCCTCTGCCTGGGACTTCTACAACAGGAAGGACTTCAGGTCTAGACATGAGAGGGGCATCTGGGGCACAGACTCACCTCCACTGCACCTACACTGCCTGGGGCTGGTCTAATCCATGGCCCTCAGGTATACAAGCCCACTAAACCCCTTCCCTGGCAACTCTGACCAGCAGTCAGTTCTGTGCCTTGCTTTTTATTTTTGCTTGAATAGTATCTCACTAAGCAGCTCAAGCTAGCCTTGAACTTACGATCCTCTTGCTTCAGCCTCCTGAGTAATGGTATTAGAAGCATGTGCCATCCCGGTTGATTTTGCTATATGCCTCGGAATGGAGGAAAAGGGTCTGGGTGGTAATGAACCAGGTCAGGGTCAAGGGTTTTCTAGTCTCAGACCACTACTTCCCACCCCAGGAAGTACCGTTCTTGGTCCTGACTCTTGTGCCAGTCTTCCCTGCCATGACCCCGGCCATGTCTTATCCTTTACCATCACCTTCTTCATGCCCCAGGATCAAGCAGTGCACACGAGTCACAATGGACCAGCTATCCACTGTACACCACGAGATGGGCCACGTGCAGTACTTCCTCCAGTACAAGGACCTGCCTGTTTCCCTGCGCAGAGGTGCCAACCCTGGCTTCCACGAGGCCATTGGAGACGTGCTAGCCCTCTCGGTCTCCACTCCCGTACATCTGCACAAAATCGGTCTCCTGGACCACGTCACTAATGACACAGGTATGAGGAAACTGAGAAGGAATCAGTTAATTCCATTCAAATCCCCTCCACCCTTCTGCTTTTTTTTTTTTTTTAATTGGAGATAAGAGCCAGTGGTGCCACTCAGCTCTGCCTATCATTTCTGTCTCCCAGACCCAGAAACAACCACATAGAGCTCAGTACTCTCCAGGTGGCAGGATTCTGGGTCTCTGGACTCATCTTTTCTAAGGCCATCCAGCCTCCCTTACCACCTTGCCCTGGCTGGCCTCTCTTCTCCTACTGACCTCTCTCTTCTGGTCTCATCTCCTGACAGAAAGTGACATCAACTTCTTGCTAAAGATGGCTCTAGAGAAAGTTGCCTTCCTGCCCTTTGGCTACTTGATAGACCAGTGGCGCTGGAGGGTTTTCAGTGGCCAGACCTCCACCTCCCGCTACAACTTTGACTGGTGGTATCTCCGGTGAGTAGAAGCATCAGGAAGGACCTCACCTCAGTGCCCTCTACACTCCTGGGCAGCCAGGAACCTCCAGCCTCCCTCTCTCAGCCCTCATTCCCTTCTCTCTTCCCTACCCCTCTTCCTCCTTTCCACCTGAAACTCCCTCCCCCTGAAACCTTCCCAACTTCTCAGGATAAGGAAGGGATGGGTTGGGCGAATATCTTTTCCATAAAGCTCAGGCAGCCTGTGGGCAGCCCCTGGGCCTTCAAGGCAGCTTAACCATCTTCTTCCAGAACCAAGTATCAGGGGATCTGTCCTCCAGTTGTTCGTAACGAAACCCACTTTGATGCCGGAGCTAAGTTTCATATCCCAAATGTGACACCATATATCAGGTACTGACATGCCCCAGCCCCTCTCCATTCCTGTTAGTCCCCTCCTCTTAGGATCCCAGCCTCCTTGCCCTCAAAGCCAGTCCCTCAAGGGCTCAGAATTAACATTTTCCTCTCTCCTGAGCTGCACGAGTTTCTGTCGATAGCCCCCATTCAGCCACTGCAGCAATTCATGCAGGGTGCTGGATGGTGCCAGGGCAAGGGACCCCTGCTTCTGCTACCCTCCCCTCCACATTCCCTCTAATGCCCACCCTATGCCTGCAGGTACTTTGTGAGCTTTGTCCTGCAGTTCCAGTTCCACCAAGCCTTGTGCAAGGAAGCAGGCCACCAGGGCCCACTGCACCAGTGTGACATCTACCAGTCTAACCAGGCGGGAGCCAAGCTCAGGTGTGTGGAGGGGAGGGATGGCAGGTGAGAGGGTAGGTAGGCAGAATAGTGAGGGGGAGGGCTGGGAAGGTGGCTCAGTGGTAGAGTGCTTGCCTTGCATGCCTGAGGCCCTGGGTTCGATTCCTCAGCACCACATAAGCAAAAAGAAAAAAGCCGGAAGTGGCACTGTGGCTCAAGTGGTAGAGCGCTAGCCTTGAGCTGAAGAGCTGAGGGACAGCGCCCAGGCCCAGAGTTCAGGCCCCACAACCGGACCCCCCCCCCCCAAAAAAAAGAATAGTGAGGGGGAGAGACTGGTAAAGGGTACAACTGGCTAGTTGGATTGGGACACTCTACGACTGAACTTGTCTCTTTCTCATCAAACATTTATTGAGATGAGTATCAGATGCCATGGGGTGAGGCCACTCTCTCCCAAAGATCTTAGGCCATAGGGTCTTCATGCCACTGCCCTTGTAGCCGGGATGGGGAGGGGGGTGGGTGAGGGAGGGCAGATACAGGCAAGGGCAGCATTGTAGGCCTTGTGCCCTGAGTACTTATTTTGCCTGACAGGGAGGTGCTGCAGGCAGGCTGCTCCAGGCCCTGGCAGGAGGTACTGAAGGACCTGGTGGGTTCAGATGCTCTGGATGCCCAGGCACTGCTAAACTACTTCCAGCCACTTAGCCAATGGCTGCAGGAGCAGAACCAGAAGAACAGTGAGGTCCTGGGCTGGCCAGAGTATCAGTGGCATCCACCATTGCCCAACAACTACCCAGAGGGCATCGGTAAATCCCTGAGTGAGGGTGACCTGGGACTAAGGCGAGTCCACAACTCTGGGCTCCGGGCCCATGCCCCTGGTTCCTGGTGGACTTCCTCCCAGCTGTGTCCTGACCCCTTGCCACCCATAGAATGCTGGATCACCTCTGAGTGCCAGGAGCCCCCTGAGCGGAGTCCTGAAGTAGACAGGGGCGTCTTTCCCCTGTCATCCTAGAGAATGTGTGCCCAGGCCTGAGGGTCCCCAGGGGGCAGGCTGGCCTGGTATACTGCTCTATGAGGTCACATTGAAGGCTCCACTCTTATTGGCCAGGGGAGGAGGCTTCAGGACTCTGCTCTTCCTGTGGCCATGGGCCAAGGTTGGGCTGCCCCCGGGCTGCCCAGCCTCCTCTTCCTGCTGCTCTGCTGTGGGCACTCACTACTAGTCTCCAGCCATGTAACCACACACCAGGTGACAAACAACCAGAGGACATCCGGCTGGGCAACAACCAGAATCCAGACAACAATTCACCGGGCAACAAGCAGGCAGAGCCCAAGTGGGACCCCCACCCCCCCTCCACCCCAGGGCAGGGGCAGGGTGACAAGAGGGTGTGGGGAGAGAGGGGAATGGCAGGTGGGGATTCTGACGAGGTTGCACCCTGGAGAGAAGGGGAGACTTGTCTCTTTCCTTCTGCTCTGTCCCACAGACTTAGTAACCGATGAAGCTGAGGCTAACAAGTTCGTGCAGGAGTATGACCGGACATCCCAGGTGGTGTGGAACAAATATGCCGAGGCCAACTGGAACTACAATACTAACATCACCACAGAGAATAGCAAGATCCTGGTAGGAGCCATACCCTGTCGCTGCCCCCACAGCATGCACACTCACACAGACACACAGATATTCAGGGACACACATATCACTGGAATTTGTGAGAAACCCATAGGGAGTATAGAAGACAATTTCTTTCACTAAAATCCAGTCTCCACTATCACACTGTAGTTCTCTATACATAAGTTATTATCAACCAAGCTGATTTTTTACATTTTTTTTTGTGTGCCAGTCCTGGGACTTGAACTCAGGACCTGGATGTTGTCCCTAAGCTCTTTTGCTCAAAGACAGTGTTCTACCACTTCCAGTGTTTTGGTGGTAAATTGGCTGGCTTTGAACCTTAATCTCCAGATCTCAGCCTCCTGAGTAACTAGGATCATAGGCATAAGCCACTAACGCACAGCTTATATTCTTCCCACTTTACAGATGGGACCCCAAGCCTCAGGGAGGCTACCGAGATACCGAGATAACAAGCTGCCTTCATGGTGTGTGTGTGTGTGTGTGTGTGTGTGTGTGTGTGTCCATACTGGGGCTTGAATCCAGGGCCTGGACACTGGCCCTTAGCTTTTCTGCTTAAGGCTGGTGCCACAGCTTTTTGAGCCACAGCTTTTTGCTAATTAATTGGAGATAAGAGTCTCACAGACTTTCCTGCCTGGGCTGGCTTTGAACCGTGATATTCAGATCTCAGCCTCCTAAGTAGCGAGGATTACAAGCATGAGATACCAATGTCCATCCAACCTGATAGTCTTTTAAGACATCTCTTTCTTACTCTGTCAGAATATCTATCTGGAGTGCAGACATCTCTCGAGGGGCATATACTGCACCCAGGACTTTATCAGATGGCCCAGTTTGTAGATCTGTATCGGCAAAAGCAGTAGCTTAATCAAACTTCGCTCCCTACCCCCCCCCATCCTCATCACCAACCCCCTTGGCATCTCCTGCCTGGAGGCTGCTCCAAAGATCCCATGACACCAACTCCTGTGCCCTCAGATGCAGAGTAACATGCAAGTGGCCAACCACACCCTGAAGTACGGCACCTGGGCCAAGCGGTTTGATGTGAGCCATTTCCAGAATGCTACCAACAAGCGGATCATAAAGAAAGTTCAAGACCTGGACCGGGCAGCCCTGCCTGTTAAGGAGCTGGAGGAGGTGTGTTCGTTGGGGAAGCAGGAAATCAAAGCCATTGGAGGGGAGTGAGCCCAGCTTTTAGGGGTCTGGTCCCCTGCTTGCTTCTTCCTTGATCTGTCTAGTGGTGGCAGGGACCATGTCCATAGATGTCCCCAGAATTTCTGAGAAGACAGAATCTTTGGGAACATGTTCTCCAAAGCCCCAACTGTAGTCCCTGGGGCCAAAGAACCTTCTCCTCTCTCATTGTGCCTGTTTGTCTCCCTGCAGTACAACCAGATCCTGCTGGACATGGAGACCACTTACAGCGTGGCTTCTGTGTGCCACATAAATGGCACTTGTCTGCAGCTGGAGCCTGGTGAGAAGACCCTGGTGGGGGAGGAGAGAGAGGTGGGGTCTGGGTTGGCATGGGTGGGATTGTTGCCAGGTCAGGGGAAATGGATGCCCCTTCTGGCTTTCTACCAGTAGAGCTCTTTGTACCCCCACTCAGAATCAACCCCTACTTCAGCCTTTGCTTCAATATTCTGTCGCTAGGCAGGCATAGGATTCCCCCGGCTCTCCCTTTCTATCACACAGAGAAGCAGGGTCTGAAGTTCATCTTCCAACAGATAGAACCATGGAACCCCAACACCTCCTTCTTCTTTTTGTGATTCTACTCATATCATCTCAACTTTCTCTGCCTTTTTCGGGTCCCTCCCCCACCCTCAGCACATGGCTGAAAAGGAAACTGAGGCCAGACAGGACCCTGGGAAGCACCAGAATAGAAGTTGGCCTAGCTGGTATCTTTCCAACATCACCCTTCCTTCCATCTTTACTTCCTGCTGGATAGGCATGAGCCAGCTCATAGCTCCCTCTTTCCTTTGCCTGTCTCCTTTGAAAGGGATCACTCTGGACCCCCAGGTCCCACAGAGATACTCTTAACCTACCCCCTTCCAGGCCTGGGGAATATAAATATTCTTCATAAGGAATCTCCACCCAGAAATGTTTTTTTTTTTCTTGGCCCCCAGCCTGGCTCCCACTTTAGAAGAATGACAAATAGATGGGGAAATGGAAAATAAACAGGGTTGAGAAACAGATTTTCCGGGGCAGGGTTTGGCCTACAGGTGGTGGATGTGGGTTTGCACACAAAGTGGAGAGACAGGAGTATGTACGTGCCTGGGCACACATCTAGATGCACATGTGTTTCTGTACGTGCCTGGGCGCACATCTAGGCGCAAATGTTTCTGGAGAAGAACATGAAAGGGGTGTGACCCTTCAGCCCCCCCATCAGACAGCTCCCTGATGGAGGCTGAGCTATCAGATAGCTGACACCACAACAATAAGAATCCCCCCACCCCCTAAAATAAGAAGACTCACATCACTGGAAGATTGACAGGGACTTCTCAAAATATACCCTTTTCAAGCAAAATTAATTGAGTTTACTTTTTTGAAAAATGGGTATCACTGGCAGGTTCCAAAGCAGGGAGACTAAGCACAAATCCAACAGTGTGGGTTTGAGGAACAGTGAATGGCTATGGCCTATTCTGTCTCAGACATGGGTCAGGTCAGGAGCTTTGAGATGAATACCTAAGTTGTCATGTACCCCAGACTGAGAAGGGAAACATCAGCTCCATGTTGTAACTGAGGAAGTTACAACACTTAGCAACTGTGAGAGGGCATAAATCCTGGATTGCTAGGTGCTGATGGGTCATGCCTATAATCCTAGATATTCAGGAGGCTGAGATCTAAGAATCATGATTGGAAGCCAACTCAGACAGAAAAGTCCTTGAGAGGAAGCCCCAGTATTGGCAGGCACAAAATTTTATATATATATATGGTTTTTAGCTCTCTGGTGGTGCTCAGACAATTCTTTGCATTTCTACTATGTTCATAGCTATTCTTTTTCTTTCTTTTTTTCTTTCATTCTTTTTTTTTTTTTGTTGGTTGTGGGGCTTGAACTCTGGGTTTGGGCGCCCTCCCTCAGCTCTTCAGCTCAAGGCGAGCACCCTACCACTTGAACCACAGCACCCCACTTCCAGTTTTCTGGTTGTTTATGGGAGATAGGAATGTCACGGACTTTCCTGCCCAGGCTGGTTTTGAACCGTGATCCTCAGATCTCAGCCTCCTGAGTAGCTAGGATGATAGGCATGAGAATCTGTGAAGAGTTTCCTGGGTCCTGAGGATAAGAACAATACAGTCCCTGCTCAGGAATTTTATTTAACTCCCCTGGGAGAGCTGGTACCATCTCCCTTTGACAAATGGAGAAGCAGACCTGCCCAAGGTAATCTGAGAGCCAAGTAAGAGTGGGGATGAATGAGGAGAAGCTGCTCTGGGACCTGGTGCTCTAGAACCAGCTCCTTCCCGGCTGAGGTACCTGAGCGTGTCAACAAGCTGCTTATAGGGAAGGAGCAACAAATTACATCCCTTGCATGTGGGTTGCTGACATACTGCAAATGTCTGAGATGGTGAATATGTGGTATGCTGTTCTAAGCACGGTACTCTGGGAGCTCCTGACAGATAATTGGCATAATTGGCTCTCCATGTCTCTCTTGTCACTAGACTTGTTGCCTAGATTGTCACTTTCTTGTTATTGTGCCAGTTTGTATGTGTTTTGGGGGGAGGGGGTAATTGAGGCTTGAACTCAGGGCCTGGGCACTGTCCCTTAGCTATTTTGCTCAAGGCTGCTGCTCTACCATATGAGCCACAGCTCTACTTCTGGCTTTCTGGAGGTTAATTGGAGATCAGAATTTCATTGACTTTCTTCTGTGGGCTGGCTTTGAACCACACTCTTCAGATCTCAGCCTTCTGAGTAGCTAGGATTGCAGGCATGAGCCACAGACACCCAGCGATTATACCAGTTTTATTCTAGTTCTGAAATGGTCAAGGTCCCTTTATAAGCAGATGAGAGGGGGGCTGGGTATTAAACCATTTAACCTCTCCTTCTTAGATCTAACAAATATTATGGCCACATCTCGAAACTACGAACAACTGCTATGGGTCTGGAAGAGCTGGAGAGACCAGGTGGGGAAAACCATCCTCCCTTTTTTCCCCAAATATGTGGAACTTGCCAACAAGGCTGCTCGACTCAATGGTGAGTTTCCCCTGTCAGTTACCATTGGCTTTCTGGTCCCTTTGTCCCTGCCACCATCAGGCTCCTCAATCCTGGGGAAAAGTAGGTCCCTGGAAATAGCATGGAACTACCAGGAGGAGAAAGAGGCAGTATTGGGAGAGCCTGACTGTGTCCCCTGTGCAGGCTACACTGATGCAGGGGACTCCTGGAGATCTATGTATGAGACACCATCCCTGGAACAGGACCTAGAGAAGCTCTTCCAGGAGCTGCAGCCGCTCTACCTGAACCTGCATGCCTACGTGCGCCGCGCCCTGCACCGGCATTACGGGGCCCAGAGCATCAGCCTCGAGGGCCCCATTCCTGCCCACCTGCTGGGTAAGGGCATGCATGTGGCTTGAGGAGGGGAAAGGTGGGCAGTAGCGAGGGTCTAAGCAGGGCTGTCCAAAGGGCAAGAGAGCAGGCTGGGATAGTGGTAGAATTCAAGCACTGAAGGGAACGTGGCCAAGGCTAGTGGAATAGGGGGCCGGGAGAAGCACCCTGCTCTCATTTGGTGATATGTTTCTTTTGGCGGTGTTGAACCTTGGCCATGCCAGGCAGGGGTTCTATTAGTGTGCCACAATCCACCTCCCTGTGTGGACCATATTTGCTACAGAGCCATGTTGTGGAAGTTGCCACAGATGGATGGGGGGAAAAGTTCACAATCTTGTTAGGGGGAGGAACATATTACCCATCATGCCTCAAGACAGTGAGCTCCAGAAGCAGAGGAGTAGGGGTTGAAAAGGTTCCACATGAGCAGCATCTTGAAAGGTGAAATGGAAAATGGTGGTAGGGAAGACGACCAGAGTCTGGGCCGATAGAACTCGACCAAAGAAGAATATACTTTACCCTCCAGACCCTTAGTTTCCTAGGGTTTCGACCCTCAATTTTCGCTGGATGTGCAAAAAGCACATTAGGATGGTAGGAGCTAGAGAAAAAATGATGCTGCCAGTTTTTGCCCCTGGTGAGCAAACAGTTTCCTGAGGGTCATGTTATTATAAGCAGAGAGGCCAGACAGGGGCACACATCACTTAGAAGTTACAAGGGAGACTCTACAATGTTGTCCAGCTATGGATCTTAGGTCTCACCCACCAGCCTCCCTTGATCTCTCTCTAGAGACCAGATGGCCCCTGAGAGGCTGGGGATAATATGCCAGTACTTGCCTGGCATGTGAGACAAACTGGGTTCAAAAAGGAACATCTGAGTGGACATCATCAGCTTAGCAGTTAAGAAACATAGACCTCCCCAGGAGAGGGGTCAGCATGCCCAGGGTAGCCTGAGAGCAGGGCAGAGCCGGGGCTTAGAATTCAGCTCCTGGCAACCAGCAGAGGAGGAGCCACCAGGCAGGCACTCCAGTCACTCAAGAGATACTTGTCACCCTGCAGTTGCTCTGACTGTCACAGACCTCATCTGTGTCCACTCAAGCACTCTGCCTTGGCTACGAAAGGTTCCTAACTGTGCATCTATTTCGGAATCTCCCACCTATTTTAGATTTAGGTTTGTTTCAGTTCACTTCCTGTTCTTTCTCCAGTCTTGGAGAATTGGGCTCTTTTATTAACACAGCTTCCTAGGCATTCACCTCTCCCAAAGGAGACAATTAGTTCTTGCCAGAGTTGCCAACAGCTGCTGTACACAAGCCAATCTCAGGGGGTAGGGAGGGAACTGAGCAGGGTGGATGGACAAGAGCCTACCAGCCTTTAAATCCAGACTCACTGTGCAGGAATTATGCACAGGAACTGCGCAGGGTTGCTAACTCCTCAGCCAATTTCCTCTGCTACATAGTGGGTACAAATGGGGTTATAACCTGACACAGTGTGCTTGGCAGGGTAATCAGGAAGTAGTGGCCATGTGGAGAAGGACAGATGATGCAAAATGTCCTCAGATATAAGATTCCTCCACTTTTGATTCCTGATGACCAGCAAGATCCTTACCTGTAACCAACATGGTAATGACCTTGTAAGCCAAAGGTGCAGCACATCCAAGCATGGTGGCACATACCTGTAATCTTAGTACATGGGAGGCTGAGGCAAGAGGATTGTGCGTTCCACATAGCAAGACCTTGACTTAAAAGTGTCTAGCAGGGGCTGGGAAGGTGGCTCAGTGGTAGAGCACTTGCCTTTCATGCCTGAGGCCCTGGGTTCGATTCCTCAGCACCACATAAGCAAAAAGAAAAAAGCCGGAAGTGGCGCTGTGGCTCAAGTGGTAGAGCGCTAGCCTTGAGCTGAAGAGCTGAGGGACAGCACCCAGGCCTAGAGTTCAGGCCCCACAACCGGAACCCCCCCCTCCCCCCGCAAAAAAAAAGGGTCTAGCACAGTTTGCAAACAGTAAGAGCTCAAGAGATACCACTACAATTGGCAGGCCTGGGATCTGGCTCCTTGTCCTGCACGAGAGCATTAAACCTAAAAAGGCCACATCTGAGTCGGGTGCCAGTGGCTCAGGCCTGTAATCCTACCTATACAAGAGGCAGAGATCAGAGGATCACAGATTGAAGCCAGCCACAGCAGGAAAGTTTATGAGACTCTTATCTCCAGTTAACCACCAAATAGCTGGAAGTGGAGCTGTGGCTCAAATGGAACAGCATCAGTCTTGAGCAAAAAAGCTAAAAGATAGCCCTCAGGCCCTGAGTTCAAACTCCAGTACTGGTGCTCACATACACACACACACACACACACACACACACACACACACACACACATACACAACACACCTGTCTCCTCTTCCACCTCTTTCTCACCTGCCTCCAGGGAACATGTGGAGTCAGACTTGGTCCAACATCTATGACTTGGTGGTGCCCTTTCCTTCAGCTCCTAAGATTGATGCCACAGAGGCCATGGTAAAGCAGGTCTGTATGGCTAAGCTCCTCTTCCTCCGTGGGTCACCCTGGAACTTCCAAGGGGAAGTCCTTGCTGGGATGGGAGAGTCCCTCTGATTGAGCCAGGCCCTCCATCCTGGCACTCTCCCAGTCCCTACTGTCATCCTGCCACACAGCCTGTCTTCAGAGCCCCCAGTTTGGGCAGAACTCTCTCTTGCTTGTAGGGCTGGACACCCAGAAGGATGTTTAAGGAAGCCGACAATTTCTTCACCTCCCTGGGGCTGCTGCCTGTACCCCCTGAGTTCTGGAACAAGTCGATGCTGGAGAAACCGACTGATGGGCGGGAGGTGGTGTGCCATGCCTCAGCCTGGGACTTCTACAACGGCAAGGATTTCAGGTCTGTCTGTGTGGAATGAGAGGGTCTTATCCTCAGCTCAAGGGCAAGGAGATCAGCAAAGTCAAGGTTCTGTCCCCATTCTCAATGCTAAGAGCAAGAACGATCAGGGCAGTTTAGAACCAAGTCTGGGATCCAGAGGCAAAAAGGTTAGTTCCAGCCTTAAGATTCTAACAGAGAAACACAAATGAAGGTCCCTTCAAGTGCTGGCCAGCCTCTGTCAGTGCAGTCAGTTGGGGAATGCTCAAGAACCTGGTCCTAGGAGTGACATTGTACAGACTCCTAGCCTCCCCCAAATGTACCTAGCTCTTTCCCTGGGCACTGTACTGGGTTGCACATGAGTTTGTTGGAACTTCACATGAACCCATTCCCATCACTGGCAGATCAAAGCTGCCTTCATCAGAATAGAGTTTAGTTACCCGTGCCACATTCATAATAAACTATTTAAGAAATTAGTAGTACCAAAAAAAACCATACGGTCAGGTGTAGTGGTACATGCCTGTAATCCCAGCACTAGTTAGCCTGGGCTATATAATGAGACCCTGTCTTAAAAGCAAAACAAAAACAGCCATTGGATTATGACTATGATTATGTGGGCCTGGAATTTAGGCAATCAATGCACAGTGGAAATGGCTTATTCCTTACTCCACCATAATGGGGACCTTTGTGTGTGTGTGTCTGTGTGTGTGTGTGTGTGTGTGTATGTGTGCGCGCGCACGCACGTGCATGCACATGTGCATAGGGTCTCATCTTTGGTAGGAAAGTACCATTGAGCTCCATCTCCAGCCCCAGCTGGGGTAGTTTTATGGCTGAAGTAACTGTTCTGGGGCCATCTTCCCAAAGCTTGGCTGTTCTTCCTTCCCTCTTTTGCTATCGACTGAGACTCCTTGGTGTTCCTCCATGTCCCTTGTCTAGGGTGGGATGTTCAAGTTGACCTCTCTGCTCACACACAGGGTGCGGACTGGATGACCAGCTAAGAGCTTCCTTGTGATCCCTCACAGTGTGTCATTCTCAGGCAGACAGATTCACTACCTGACAGCTGGCAACCCTCAGAGCCAAAGAAGCTGCTAAAGGCAAAGCCTTTGAGAGTCACGTTACATTATTATATTTTATTTTTTGTTAGTGCTGGGACTTGAAATCAGGGCCAGCTTGTCTACTCAAGGCTAGCATTCTACCACTTGAGCTACTTTTCACTGATTATTAGCCCTGCCTGGGCTGGCTTTGAACCACAGTCCTCAGATCTCAGCCTCCTGGGTACTTAGGATTATAAGGTGTGAACCACCAGTGCCCAGCTTGTCATATTCTATTGTCTATGTTTTAAAGCTAGACTCACAGACAACCTAGATCCAAAAGAAGGGACAAAAGATGTTACATCTAGTGGGGAAGTAGCTAAGATAATCACTTCTTGAGAAGCCTAAAACACAAACAAAAACCAGACACAATTCACTGGGCTGCCTGGCTTTGAGCCCGTCAAAAACATGGAGACTGGGTCTGGAAAGGTGGCTCAGTAGTAGAGTGTTTGCCTTGCATGCATGAGACCCTGGGTTTGATTCCTTAGTACCACATAGGCAGAAAAAGCCAGAACTGGCACTGTGGCTCAAGAGGTAGAGTGCTAGACTTGAGCTGATGAGCTCAGGGACAGCACCCAGACCCAGAGTTCAGGCCCCACGACCGACCTAAAAAAGGTGGGGGGGAGACTATAGTTGTCAGGTTATAAAGTAGGGAGAATCAAAGAGGGTAAAAGCATGTCAGAGGAGGAACTAGTCAGACCCAACCTCATGCTGGACTTGAACTACAAGGCAGGTGCTTGGGTACTTCCTGCAATTGGAAGAAAACAAGGGTGAAACCTGATTTGGACAATTCTGCAGCTGTCAGTCAATCTTAGGCCTAAGAATTCTTCATATACACTCACTAGGGTTGGACTGCATGAGATGGAGAATAGCCAGACATCATTACCCTGAGAACTATCTCTAGAGCAAAGAGAAAGCAACGGACAGTTGAGGCTGAAGAATGGCTGGAATGACTAGGGACTTCTTGTGCCCCGATTTCCTCTTTCTCAGGGTCACTTGATCTCTCCCTTTTACTTTCCTTCCCATGTATATTCCCTGCACACAGCAGTCCCTCTTCTGACACCCTCTCTCCCCATCCCCGTGTCCCCAGGATCAAGCAGTGCACCACTGTCAACATGGAAGAGCTGGTGGTGGCCCACCACGAAATGGGTCACATCCAGTATTTCATGCAGTACAAGGACTTGCCTGTGGCCTTCCGGGAGGGCGCCAACCCTGGCTTTCATGAGGCCATTGGGGATGTGCTGGCCCTCTCTGTGTCTACTCCCAAGCACCTACACAGCATCAACCTGCTGGAGCATGAGGGCGATGGCTACGGTGCGAGAGGGACAAGGAGATCTTGGTGGACTGAGGGCCCCGGAAGGGGCAGGGAGTTGGGAGGTGACCCCTTTGCAGGGAGGTGTGGGACAGAGCAATGGTGGTAGAAGAGGACCCCAACAGGGTAAGCCTAAGAGGTTGGAACACGCAGACCATTCCAAGGGACAGGTTTCAGAGTCTAAAGAGGTACAGCACCCTGCTCCCCTTTGCCCATTGGGACTGAGATTCTAAGCCCTGGCAGGAGGCTGAGCTCTCTTCCCTTAACAGAGTATGACATCAACTTTCTGATGAAGATGGCCCTGGACAAGATCGCCTTTATCCCCTTCAGCTACCTCATCGACCAGTGGCGCTGGAGGGTCTTTGATGGAACCATCACCAAGGAAAACTACAACCAGGAGTGGTGGAGCCTCAGGTTCTAGAACATTCTACCTAGGGCTGTGGGTTAGAGCTGTCATCTAAAGGATGTCTGTGTGTGCTTTCATGGCTACAGATGGGCCACTATCTGTGTGTGTGTGTGTGTGTGTGTGCGTGTGTGTGTGTGTGTGTGTGTGTGTGTGTGTGTGTGTGTGTGTGTGTGTAAGTGATTGGAGGGATCTCAAGGGATCTGTTTACAGGATTACAGGATGCTCAGTGTAATCCTAAATGCAAGTACCATCCTTCCAGTAAAATTTCCAACTTCCTTAGTTCTCTCTAAATGCTCCCTCCAATATGTCTTCCTTTGACAGGCTGAAGTACCAGGGTCTCTGCCCCCCCGTGCCCAGAACTCAAGATGACTTTGACCCAGGGGCCAAGTTCCATGTTCCTTCAAGTGTGCCTTATATCAGGTAATTGGGAAAGGGAGGTGCATGGGGAGGAAGGGTACTGCCCAAGTCTTAATGTTTAAACTGCAATCTGCTGCCCCATCCCAAAGCTGTGGGAACGGGGACATGACACATGGGCCCAATGCCTGCTGCTAAACCTGAAGATGCTTCCTTTAAATATTTTTTGGGTGAAAGCCTGTGTCATCTAAACTGTTGAAAAACAGAAACTTAACCTACATTTCCAGAACCTCGCTGAGAGTAGTTAACATTAGCCATGGTACATGCCTGAATGGTAACTGAATGCTATCAGTTGTTCATATTGTTGTTGTTGTTATTCGTACCAGTTATACAAGGATGTTTGTGTTGATGTGTCCATTTGTGTATATAATGCATTGTGATCATTTCCCCTCCTCTCCACACTCCCTTCCAAGACCAGTCTCTGCAAGCTTCATCATTCCATTTTCATACACAAAATAGAAAAATATTTTGACCATATTTACCCTTCACCCTCTGGTGGTTTTGTTTTGAAAACAAGTATGTGGTTTCTTTGCTACAATTTAACAAAATTGGGTGTGATATACTTTGAGTTGCACCTCAAAGATCCTTCTATAGCCTAAAACCTGGGACTGGAGACCCAGCTCAGCTGGAAAGCAGGGTTACTAGGGGAAGACTTGGGGTCAAAGCTCAGGTCCATGACAGTTTCCCTCAGCAATGTCCTCCACCTCTGTGAGCATCTGTTTCCTCTCCTTGACCTCATTTCACAGAGTGGCCATGAGGGCTGCTATGTCTCTAGAAGGCTGAGGGTTAGGTGGCCCTGGTCTATCATTGTTAAATACTCTCCTGCACTAGCCTGTATATCATATGCTCACAGAGTGGAAGTGCCCGGTGTAGCCCTTCTCCTTCCCTGATCTCCAGGCCGTCACTTGCTGAAGACGAGGACCCAGAGTCCTCCTAGATGATCATGGGCTGGGGAGACCTCAGGGAGGAGTGTCAGGTGTCTCTGGGCCACAGGGAGTGCAGGCTAGCCAAGAATCAAGGAGAAGCTCTCAGAAGGACTGTGCCTACCTCTAATCCTTGGCTTTGGTTTTATTTTTGTGCTTGTACTGGGCCTCAAGTGCTCTTACTTAGCTTTTTCACTCAAGCCTGGCACTCTACTATTTGAGCCACACCTCCACTTCGGGAGTTCATTGAAATAAGAGTCCTCTCACAGACTCTTCTGACTAGGCTAGCTTCAAACCTCAACCCTCAGATCTCAGCCTCTTGAGTAGCTAGGATTTACAGGTGTGAGCCACCAACACCTGGCTGATCTGTGCTTCTGATGGTCTCTAAAAGCCCACTGAGGCCAGTCTTATTGCCTCACTTTCCATCCTGGCACCTGAAACAATGCTATGCATGGAGGATGAGTAAAGCCTGCCCTCCTACCCCCACCTCCCCCAAGCTTGGGAAGGGAAGAGTGCATCACCTGCTCAGAGGTCAGAATGAGGAGCAGGAGGCTGAGGACCAAGGCACATCAGACAGGCTTGGCCCAGATATTGCCATCAGGAATGACTCTTAGGGGGTTTCCAGCTACCTACTGGAGCTGTTTCTAGGGTTCCAGGATAGCGCTCACTCTCACCCTGAAGTCAGCCATATGACACTTAGCAGCCCAGTTGAGCATGGACAATTAACTACTCAGGGGTGAGCAAAGGAGACTCGGCTGCCCTAGAAAGAGACATCCTGAATCCTGGCCAGCAGCCTGAGCAAAGAGCTTTGGGGAAATGCCAGGGGAACAAGTGGCACATGGCTTATGCCCAGCGTTCAAAGGGAGAAGCCTGTGCTGTTGGTTGGGACATTTAAATCCTCTCCAGACTTGGCAAGGTTGCTCTGGCTCTGACCAACAGATTTCTACCAGAGATTTTCTGCTGCTTGGGCTAAGACTGTGTGGGCTTTTCTCCCTACCCACGCAGTCTTGCTAGATCCACATGAACCGTGTGGCAGCCGCTAGCCCCTACTTGCATACGTCCCAGAGACAGAGACCTCTTGGCCTCAAAACAGCTTACCATGCCTTTGCAGGGCTCTACTCCAAACCTGCTCCTGCGGGCTTCTCCTTCAGCCCCAGAGGCAAAGGCAGATTCATGGTTGGGTGGCATCTATCTATACAGGCATTGCTGGGAAGAGACTTGGACAGCTCCAAAGGCCAGAATGCACTCACCTTGATATCCTGACTGCATCTTGCTCTGCTGAGTGTCCCCTGTGTGTCACAGACAGAAGGGGCTGGGTCTCCACGACACATGCCCCTCCACCCACCCTATGTCATGCCTTCATCCCACTCCAGGTACTTTATCAGCTTCATCATTCAGTTCCAGTTCCACGAAGCCCTGTGCCAGGCGGCTGGCCACAAAGGCCCCCTGCATAAGTGTGACATCTACCAGTCCAAGGAGGCAGGGAAGCTGTTGGCGTGAGTGTCCTCCAGCCCTCCTGTGACTGTTTCCATCCTCTAGCCTGAAACCCTTGAGGAACCCCCCCCGTTTTTGTCTGGAAACACCTGCCATTTGCGCTCTTGAGCTGGGAACCATCCCACCCTCGCCCCACTCCCAGCTGAAGCTTCTGTTGTACTTACATAGAAAATGTGAGCGCCATCCCCTCCCCCCACAAGACCCAGTCCTTCCTTCCCTATCTTTGCCCCGTCCCCACCTCAGGTCCTCTGAATCCTAAAGAGAAGTTGAGGGTAGGAGAGGGGTATAAAGAAAGGATACCATGGTTGAGCTAGGGAGATCAGGTTCTTTGACTCAGTTTTTTTCTCTCTGGCGCCTTCCCCAGGGACACCATGAAGCTGGGCTTCAGTAAGCCATGGCCAGAGGCCATGAAACTGATCACAGGCCAGCCTAACATGTCAGCCTCAGCCATGTTGAACTACTTCAAGCCATTGATGGAATGGCTCATCACTGAGAACGGGCGACATGGGGAGAAACTGGGTTGGCCGCAGTACAACTGGACACCAAACTCCGGTACCACCACCCACCCCACCTCCAGCCCTAGGCCCAGCCCCCACAGCTCACCCAGGGCTGAGCCCTCTCCCCAGTCCAGGCAGGCTCCAGTCTGACTTCACAGCAAGGTCAGGGATGCCAGAACACATGGCCCCAGGCAGCCCATCGCCCTGCCCACTGCCCTGTCTCCTTGCTTCCCCGCCCAGCTCGCTCGGAAGACTCCTTCCCAGACTCCGGCCTCGTCAACTTCCTGGGCATGAATCTGGAGCCACAGCAGGCCCGAGTGGGTCAATGGGTGCTGCTCTTCTTGGGGGTCGCCCTGCTGGTAGTCACCTTGGGCCTGGCCCAGAGGGTCTGCAGCATCCGCAGTCACACCTTCCACCAGCCCCACCATGGGCCCCAGTTTGGCTCTGAGGTGGAGCTGAGACACTCTTGAGATGACCAAGATGGCTGGGGCTTGCCAAGGGATGTCCCATGAGAAACCAGAATGGGAACAGGATGCCCAAGGAGAAGGCAGCTCCACCTCCCTCCCTCCTCCTCCTTTCCTTCTTCCCCCTCCTCTTCCTCTCATTCTGCCTCCCTCCCCTCTGCTCCTCAAACCACCAGAACCACCCAAGTCCCAGCCTCCATTCTTCAGGCACCCAGCCATCAAACACAGGGCTTCTCCCCTAGTCTCTCTGTGAATGCAATTAAAAGTCCTGCCTCCCCATCTGAGTCTGTGTCCCTCACAGTTGGAAGCCAGGAGGAGGGAGAGCGTGCTCTCTTGCTCTCTTTCTCCTGGCAGTTCAGTGGTGCCCTTTCCTCATTGCTTCCTCCATTCCCTTTCAAGAAAAGCCTTGGTGAATCTCCCAACTCTGGCTTCCCACCAGCCCAGGCACCCATACTGTGTCCTGCTGTGGTGGGCAGCTCCTGCCCTCTCAGAATCCTCAGGAGGATTCTGGGATCATAGGATTCTCACATGTTGATGCAACTTTCTGCCCATGCGTGGTCAGGTTCCCCAGGAAGCCCCTAGCTGCCCCTGGCTTCGTCTGCAGGGCAAGTACCCTGGAAGGGCCTGACTCAATGAGGTCACCTTGAGCTCCTGCCTATACCAGCTCTGTGTCCACTTGTGTGAATGGACAGCCTTAGTTTTCAGACAGAGCTATTCAGATATTGCCTAGGAGAGAAGGCCCTGGAAGGGAGTTCCCTGGACAGGGATGATACAGGGTTAACTGCCAGAGGCTGCCTGCTTGCTCTTCCCAGCATACACATTCTGACTAGGAGCTGTCCCTGGGAAGGCCTGCTTAGATTTCAGAGAATGTCATTTTGAGGGACATTTTTATAACTTTTCTCTCTGTGTTTATGTAGAAAATTGAAAATACTATAAATAAAAGCACTTTATATCAACATCGAGATGAGCACTGTGGCTATTTTGACATATTATCTTCCCCGACCTTTTTTATTGTCTCCCTCTCTCCCTCCCTCCCCCATGCACATATTTTAAATGGGATCATACTGTTTTTACACTGGTATATTTTTTCTCAGGTAACATAACTATACCTTTTTCAGATATTTATTCAGCAAACCTAGAACTTGGCTAAAAGGAAAGTGGTCATTTTTCTGGACTTTTTTTTTTGGCCTAGCCTCTTCTGGTCAGTGTTAATATCTTAATTCCAGCAAGTTTCAACCTCCAATTCTAATATCCTTAAGTCCACAGTTATGGCTCCCCAATCTCCAAGCACAGTGTGAGTGTGGTATGTGTGTGAGTGTTTTACACAGGCTTTTCCCATGGTACAGGATGTGATGTTGAGGAATCTTGCATTTACAAGGCGCTGGAAGTTTACAATTCAGTAGGACAATGGAACACATAAACACATACTCTGAATCTATCCCAACCATCCACATCCACAGACTGTTTTAGTTGTCCACACCCCTTCCCAGCCAGTGTTTTGCGAGCTGTTTGTCTACCAGACAAAGGTCATTGTCACATGGAACCCCCTTTCCTATTATTATGAACCATAGAGGTTCATGCTGTCTGTCAGAATTTTGGGGCAGCTTGTGGGCACCAACTTTCTACATTCATAGTCAGAGCTACTTTAGAAGGAGCTTGGTAATTAGACTGACCAGCTATATCCAGTCAACTGTGTGTGTGTGTGTGTGTGTGTGTGTGTGTGTGTGCACGCGCGCGCGCCAGTACCAGAGCTTGAACTTCAGGCTTGAGTGCTGTCCCTTAACTTTTTCTGCTCAAGGCTGAGGTTCTACTGAGCCACAACTCAATTTCCAGCTTTTTGCTGGTTAATTGGTAATAGTCTCACAAACTCTTCTGTCCAGGCTGGCTTTGAACCTTGATCTTCAGATCTCAGTCTCCTGAATAGCGAGGATTACACGAATGAGCCACTGATGGGTGCCTGGCTCCACTCAACTTTTTTGTTGGCAGTATTAGAGTTTGATTTCAGGATCTCACATTTTTCAAAAAGGTGCGCTACCACTTGAGCCACAGCCTGAGACCTCAATTTGTTTTCTGTGTTTGTTTCTTGGGTTTTTGTGGGAAGGGGGTATTGCTTTTTCATTTTTCTTTTTTTTTTCCTTTTGCACCAAGGTTCAGACTCAGGTTTCTGATCTTTCATGGCTTTTTCAATCACAACAGATGCTCTGCTACTTGAGCCATACCTCCACTTCCGGCTTTTGGAAGCTAATTGGAGATAATTTGCCTTGGTCTCAGCCTCTTATGTGAGCTACCAGTTCTCCATTCAACGTTTTGAAATACAATTATTCAAATGCCTGTTTATGCTTTCTTGGGTGAGTTGGGAGAGGCCAGGGCCATCTGGGGATGGTTACGGGAAGACATAGTAATGGAAGAGGACCTCCAGCACTGTTTCTCTGCTGCCCCTGAAGTTGGAGCTCTTCCTGATGCTTCACACTCAAGGCAGCTTTTCAGTGACCCTATGCTGGGCAAAGGTGTTATAGATGCTAGATCTCTGTTTCTCTATCCCTTCCCAACCTCCTACTCTTCCTCCAGCTCCCCACTCCCACTAGCCCTGGATTTCACATGCATAAAGCAGCCTTTAATTAACTGGAGGCCAATTCTACCTCAACACTTACTGTGTTTGTAACCATACATTGTTTACTTCCATTTCCTGAGGCTGTGGTTTTCACATCTATGAAGTGGGTATTATAAGCCAGGTGCTGATAACTCATAACTGTAATCCTTATTCAGGAAGGTGAGATCTGAGGATCATGATTCAAAGCCCCAGCTGGGGCCGAAAAGTTTGAGACCCTTATCTGTAGCAAAAGACCAGAAGTGGAGGTATGGCTCAAGTGGTAGACCACCATGAGTGCATTCTTGTCACCCTTGTCAAGATGTTCCATATGCTACTACATTCCCCAAGACAAAGACTGAAGAGATGCAAAGTCAGGCCAAGATCAACCCTGAGAGAGAGAGAGAGAGAGAGAGAGAGAGGAGGATGGGGGAGGGAGGAGGGTAGGGACAGAGCAATTGGGTGGCTACACTGGATGAAAAGCTGGAGTCTGTGTTCTCCCCAAACCAACAGAGGACTTTCTTAAGCAGTAAGTTTATCACTGAACTTCCGGTGGACTGATTTCTTCCTGGAGCCCCACAGCTAAGTCAGACTCTGCTTGGAGCTGTTTTCTCCTCTGTCCCCTAATTCTTGCTCATGTTTCTTACCTGTGCATGCACCAAGATGTTTTTTCCCCCAGCTGTGTCTTCTGCTTTTCAGCCTATGGCTTAATCCTTGTCCACTGAAGTTTTGGTTCTTCAAATTTTCCTTTCTTTCTAAGAATTTTTATTTTGATAGGTTTGTGCATTCTTTTTTTCAATTTTCAAAATTAAATTAGCCATGTTTTCCATGTAAAGCATGTTTCTTTCAAATCTACTGTTTTCATGGAAGTCTGTCTCTTCACAGATTCTGATCCTGTCATTTCAAAGATATGTTTCAATTTATTTTATTTTATTTGTTTGTTTTTCTAGTCCTGGGGCTTGAACTCAGGGCCTGGGCGCTGTCCCTCAGCTCCCTTTGCTCAAGGCTATCACTCCATCACTTGAGCCACAGCACACTTCTGGCTTTTTCTGTTTCTGTGGTGCTGAGGAATCGAACCCAGTGCCTCAGGCATGCAAGGCAAGTGCTCTACCACTGAGCCATCTTCCCAGCCCCGAGTTGTATTTTTGATATATAATTTCTTTCTAGTATTAAGGACTGAACCCAGGGCCTTTCAAATACTAATGCTTCAGTTCCATTTTAACTCGTGTGTGTGTGTGTGCTCGCGCGCGTGCACGCGTGCGTGTGTGCGTGCACGCGTGTGTGTGTGTGTGGTGTGTGTGTGTGTGTGTGTGTGTGTGTGTGCTGATACTGGGTCTTGAACTCAGCATCTGGGAATTATCCCTTAGCTTTTTTCTCTTAAGGCTAGCACTCTATCACTTGAGCTACAGCTCCACTTCCAGCTTTTTGGTGCTTAATTGGAGATAAAAGTCTCATGGACTTTCCTGCTCAAATCTCTGCTTCCTGAGTAACTGGGATGCCACCAGTGCCTGGATTCTTCTAAAATTTTTAAAAATAAATTTTGCTTTTTCCTTCAGCCTTTTATTCTACACCTCCCAACCCCCACTTTTACCTTTTGTGCAAGTCCTGGGACTTGACCTCAGGGCCTAGGCACTGTCCCTTAGCCTTTTTTACTCAAAGCTGGTGCTCTACCACCAGCTTTACTTCTGTTTTTTTGCTGGTCAATTGGAGATGACTCATGGACTGTCCTGATTGAACCAGCTTTGAATCAAAATCATCAGATCTCAGCCTCCAAAGTAGCTAGGATTACAGGCGTGAGCCAGTAGCCAGTTAATTTTTGTGTTTCACATAAAGTTCCTTTCTATTGATGAGACCTGTCTTTCCTCAGTGTTGTCTGTTCCCATCAATATGTCTAATTTGAACCAAGTGCTGGTAGCTCAGGCCTATAATCCTAGCTACTCAGTAGATTGAGATCTAAGGATCAGGGTTTGAAGTCAGCCTAGGCAGGAAAGTCTGTGAGACTACAATAAACGACCAAAAAAGCTGGAAGTGGCGCTGTGGCTCAAGGGCCAGAGTGCTACCCTTGAGCAAAAGAAGCTTAGAGGGCTGGGAAGGTGGCTCAGTGGTAGAGCGCTTGCCTTGCATGCATGAGGCCCTGGGTTCAATTCCTCAGCACCACATAAGCAAAAAGAAAAAAAAAAGCTGGAAGTGGCACTGTGGCTCAAGTGGTAGTGCTAGCCTTGAGCTGAAGAGCTGAGGGACAGCGCCCAGGCCCAGAGTTCAGGCCCACGACCAGACCACCCCCCCCCAAAAAAAAAAAAAAAAAAAAAAAAGAAGCTTAGAGACAGCACCCAAGCCCTGAGTTCAAGTCCCAGGACAAGAAAAACAAAAGTCTAATTCAGCATAGGCTCTAGGGCCAGATCATGTGGATTTAAATCCCACCTTCAGTATTTGGTAGCTGTCTGTAAGAAAATTCAGTCTCTCTTTATCTGATTGAAGTACCTACTTGATGGATTTATCAAGATTCTGTTGCTGAATGACACCTAATGATACCTAACACCTACAAAGTGCTTAGTAGGGAATTGGTTATGGCCATTATCTCTCCTGACACTATTTTTTTTCCTACTTAATAAGCTTGACTTAATGAACCATCCTCAGTTGTATCAGACTTTTGCAGAGTTCTCAACACATCTGCTTTTTTCTTTCAAATTTCCACAGGGGAGGGCTAGGAAGGTGGCTCAGTGGTACAGCGCTTGCCTTGCATGCATGAGACCCTGGGTTCGATTCCTCAGCACCACATAAACAAAAAGAAAAAAGCCGGAAGTGGCGCTCTGGCTGAAGTGGTAGAGCGCTAGCCTTGAGCTGAAGAGCTGAGGGACAGCACCCAGGCCCAGAGTTCAGGCCCATGACCGGACCCAAAAATAAATAAATAAACAAACAAATTTCCACAGGGGAAAACAAAGCATCTCCTGGCTCCCAGCATGATGGAGGCATTACTTCCACTTATAGGAAGTGACCAGCTGCTCCACATAGGGACCAAGGCTGCAGCTCTGTGGGTGCAGGCATTGTAACAGCTTGTGTGATGGAAGCCACCAGGCTTCAGCCTCACTCAGTGCTTCCACTCACCGCCTGTTCATCTCTAGCATCAGAAAAGTTCCCTTTATACCTCAGCTCTGCCTCTCTCTCTCTCTCTCTCTCTCTCTCTTCTTTTTTTCCCCAGTCCTGAGGACTTGAGCCAGAGCACCGCTTCTGGTAGTTTATTAGAGATAAGAGTCTCAAGGACTTTTCTGCCCAAGTTGGCTTCAAACCACAATCCTCAGATTTCAGCCTCCTGAGTAGCTAGGATTACAGGTGTGAGCCTGTAGCACCCACATGCTTTTTGTATTTTCAAAATCC